GAGAAGCAGCTCAATAATTATGTCTCAAAGATTCCATCTGGTGTTGCTTATTTGGCTCCAATAGATGAATTTTTCCCCTTTAACACATATAGTTTTCTAGAAAACTCAATAGTATCAAAGGAACAGTTATAAACAGACAGGAACACTGTGATTTCCACACACACTTTCAAAATGTAGGTACTACATTCCTTAACAATACTAGAAGCCATACATTTCAGCCTCTACCCACAAAGTGGTCACTCTTGCAAGACTTCATCTACATTTCCCCCCCCCCCCCCCCCCCTCCATAGTATCTTGCATCAGACTTCAGTGTATGCATCCCCTCAGGTACTTTGATACACTCCATAAAGTTCTAAAGATTGTTAGGGAACATATTTTGACACCCATGTACATTTGTCAGTAGTTGGTGTAAGGAAGTATCGGGTCCCAAAAAGGAGCAGGAATGCAAGATATAGTGCAGAAACCCTTCTCATAATGTCACCTCTCCTTTTCATTTGGGTAAGTGTCAGTCCTTAGTTTTGCATTCTGCTAATATTACTTTTCCATGAAAGCAACTGTTGTAGCAACCACACGGATTTTTTGACATAATGAATGGAAAAGCAGATGATTGGGTGCTTGTGAATGGAGAGGGAAGGTGTCCCACAAGATATTGGATAAAATTGTCAAAAGAACCTAAATGACTCAGGCCATGTCTTCACTACAAACTTAAGTCAATTCAACTTATTTCAGCGTAAAGCCGCTGCAGTAAGTATATCGCTTGTGCATACTTGGCTGCTTGCATCAGTGTTGCATGTACTCACCAGGAGTGCTTATTTTAATGCAAAGTATGGTGCGCTGCAGATAAGTATCCCAGTGTGCCACTAGCTACTGGCAGGCATGCTGCCTTTTGGGAAATTTTCAAAATGTATTGTGGAGTAGAGAAGAGTATCACACACAGGTGACAGGGAGCAAGGGGTCAAGTTCACAACTTGCAACTTTCTCCCTCCCATAATGCCATTCATATCCCATAATTTTCATGCCTTTTTAAAAAGAAAAAAATCCACAAACCCAGGTGGGCACGACCCTTTTCACAGTCTGTAATCTCTTACAGAGTTCTTCAGTATTGTCACAAATGTTGCAAACACCGGACAAACAATCCTCCAATATTTGCAGAGCTGCAGGATAGATTGCTGAGGAACACAGTGAAAAAACAATTCAAGGTAGTTGGTAGCATTCACAGAGCAGTTTCAGACAGTCAAGGAACACTCCTGAGCTTGAGAAACGAGCACTGACTGGTGGTATTGGACAGTAATTCAATCGACGAACAGTGGCTGCTTTGAAACGACGAGCAGTGGCTGCAGAACTTCTCGCTGCAAATGGCCACATTCCTGGATCTGCGTGCTGACCTTGCCCCAACTCACCAGCACAGAGACACCGTAATGAAAGCTACTGTGACGTTATTGACATAAACTGGGACGGTACAGATCATTGTTGCAACCACTGTTATATATTTGCAGCAAATATTGTACAAAGGTTGTCGTGTGAGGTGTCTATAAAGAGGTTATGATTTGCTAGTTATAATTATGCTGTCTGCATGTGTGTACCATTTTGTAGTTGAAGTTATGAATATTGGCTATGAACTTGTATCTCGATGTGTTTTGAGTCTGAGGCCTTGGCTATACTGGCGCTGTACAGCGCTGCAACTTGCTGCACTCAGGGGTGTGAAAAAACAGTGAGGCAAAGGAGGAAAAGTTGCCACCAGGATGGAGGATAGAGGTGGAGCAGCTGTCTTTGACTTGTAGGAGCAAAACAATGAAAAGTGTATACCTTTGTCCTGCTAATTTGGGGTTGGGTCCGGTGCTATCTTTACATTTAAACACTAAGGAAAAATGCATTCACACACTCACCCAAGGCTCTTTCCCCTTCATTGACTCTGTGCTCAGCTGGGGGGACTCACTAGATTGTGGTGCAGTCTCAAAAACAGGTCCTGGCTGGTGGCATAGCTGGACCTCCCTGCTGTGTGTTCCCCCCCACCCCTCCTCCTTGCTGTTCACAGCAGAGTTCTGTGTCTCAAGCTCCTCAGAGGTATCTAGAGTGGTCTAAGGGGTGCTAATGGAGTATCCACCAATTATGGCATGCAGCTTGGTGTTTAAAAAAAAAAAAAAAAAAAGACAAAAAGGGTAAGTCTGCAGCTTAGCATCAGACTGATTGTTGGCCTCCCTGGCCTTATAGTATGCATGCTGCAGTTCCTTCGCTTTTACATGGCACTGCTGCTGATCCCTATCGTATCCCTTTGCCTTGCATTCTCTGTGCAATCTTTTCGTAGATGTCCACATTTCCATGGCTAATCCATAGCTGTGCCCACACAGTCTCTTCTCCCCACAGGCCCAGGAGATCCAACGCCTCCAATCTACTCCACAAAGAAGCGTGTCTAGTGCATGGAGTCAACATGGTCAGTTGGCAATTGCATGAAACAAGAGACAGCTTGTGTGCTCACAAAGCTGGGCAATCAGGAAAAAGCATTTTAAAAATACACAGAAGTTCTAAAGGAGGGTAGCTTCCGGTCTACGTGGCCCCTGGGCAGCAGAGATCACAATTGTGAGCAGAGTGGTCAGTGTCAGGCATTGGGGACAGCTGCTAGAGGACTGTTAGGGACGACATAGGTCATGCAGCATCTATACTTGCACTGCATCAACCTCAGTAGATCAACCATGGCTCAACACTATTCAATTAGGTGGTTTTATTGAGTCACTGTAATGTAGTGCTTACATTGGCTGGAGACAAATTTGAGTGTAGACGCACGCACAAATAGGCTGATGTAAGGCAACTTACATTGACCTAACGGTGTAGCATAGACCCAGCTTTTGGAGTCTAAATCCCATTTTCAAAAGTGACTTCGATGCTTTTGAAAATGTTACCCAATCTCTATTAGGATGTGACCACACTATCAGAATGTTTGAGAACTCTTGCACTACACATTTTTTTAATAATTATTTTGTAAATCTTGATGGCACTAACCAAAGAAAGCTTCTTGGTCGGCCCAGACAGGTGGAGTTTTCAAACACTGCATAATGCAACAAGTTAAATAGAAAAGCAATAATGCACCTGTAAGCATTGCAACAGTCCTAATGCCATGAGATAAGATTTAAACTCCTAAAGTACATTAACATTTTACACCATCACTGTAGCACCTTAGCAACTCACAAACATTAATGAGTTTATACTTGCAAGGAAATATTAACACCTCCATTTTACAGATAGGAAAATAGGCATAGAGAGATTTAGGGATTTGCCCAGATCACACAGGAAGTGTGTGGCGAGCAAGGACCTAAATTCAGATCTCATGAATCCTAGTCTAGTACTTGAATTGCAACACCGTCTGTCCTCTCACCTTCTGCTATCAAGATATGAAAGTATCATTCTTATTTTTAATATCCATGTCTCCCTATCTATTCCGCTTAGATTTGTTTGAGTCTTCCAAGAAAACTGAACGTCACCTGGCTCCATCCAAAAATCCAAAGCTTCAATATAAGTAAGAAGTATAACTTGCCATGAATAAAACATTAAGTGTATTTGGGAAAAATAAATTGGCAACTCTGAGCCCAAGTAGCCATCTTGTTGAAGAAATGTCATTTGTGACAACACCTGTGTGACAGACTGCTGTAAGAAACTAAATAAAATTGTCAGGCTGCTTTAATGATGTTTTAACAATCAAAACTTGTTTCTACAAAACATTTCATTTTTAAGTTATTGGAAATGTTACACTCTGAAACTTGCTTAGAGTTGTGCTTTTTGTTCCTAAACTGCCAGTGTTGCAAATTAAGTCACTTCAACAGGACGGTCACCCAGGAAACATGCTTTATTTATTATGAGAACCATTTCTTACCCTTTAGACTTTTAGATTGCTGGAGAGAATAAAATGAGTGCAGTTTTCCTTTAAATACAAAGAGAATATTTACCTAGAAACGATAGTCACAGTTGTTAAAAAATATAAACACTTTTTCAAAGTATGTGTAACTACTGGCTTCTCTGAAATTTTCTATGAAAGGGTAAGTACCGTGGTTTATAGTAACTGAACTTAAACTTTTGCTTACGATGCTTGAAAAATATTACTGAAATTTTTTAAAACTTTTCTGGGGTTCTATGGATGCTCATCCTGTAGTTTATCAAGATATTACACACCTTTAATATACATTTTGGAAAGGAACATGAAATAAGATTAACCAAATCAACTCTTACTAAAGAAAGCTGACTTTTAAAGATTCAGGTAGCCTAGAACAACTCGAATACTCGAGGCTCCTTTTACTTACACCTAGTTTCTCTCCCTCTCCGCTTCCTCAAATAACTATTTAGAGAAAACTGCAACTTACAACAGAAGAATTATATAGGAACACCAGAATTATCAAATCAGATCAGAAAAATAGTCCATCTAGTTGAGTAGACAGCACTGACAGTGTACCAGACACTTCAAAGAAAGATGCAAGAAACCTCATAATGGAATTATCCATACAGAAAAGATTTTAATTCTATAATCCAAATAAAGGGGTATAGTATCATGGGTCTATGGTTCAGATCAGGGGTCGGCAACCTTTCAGAAGTGGTGTGCCAAGTCTTCATTTATTCACTCTAATTTAAGGTTTCGCACCAATAATACATTTTAACATTTTTAGAAGGTCTCTTTCTACAAGTCTATATTATATAGCTAAACTATTGTTGTATGGTAAAGTAAATAAGGTTTTTAAAATGTTTAAGAAGCTTAATTTAAAATGAAATTAAAATGCAGAGCCCCCCGGACTAGTGGGCAGGACCCGGGCAGTGTGAGTGCCACTCAAAATCAGCTCGCGTGCCATAGGTTGCCTACCCCTGGTTCAGATCATATATTTTCTCTAAGCAAGAAGAGTCATTAACACTATAAATGCTCATCACATACAAAACTCAAAGTAAACTACTATTAGAAATCTCTGATGGAGAAAGGCCTAGGAGAGAACTACCTGTAGTAAGGAGACTGAATTGCCTCTTACCCTTATAGAAGGTGGTCCCTCCAAATCAGGGCTCAGGTCAGCAATGGGCCAGTGTAAGAAAGCTCACACTTTGGCTGCCTGCATCGTATCTGACCTGTGAATAAACAGAGGATTTCAGTTTCCACAACAGCCAGTTCCTTAACCTTCATGCACATTAGAACTGATGATAAAATTTAATTTGGGAGTAAACTATTGATTTTTAAATCATTAGCTTATTTTTTAAGCCTGGGGGCTAGAGTCCCTGCTAGGGAAAACAGTTGGGTTTTTAAAGCTTTGGACCTATGCTTTTTGTTAGTATTTTAACATCTGCATCCTAAATGTATCAAAGTGTCACAAAAGAATCATTTGAGGGATTTTGAACTTCATACCAAATTAGATGGTAGTAATGATCTATGCTTCACTACAATACAATGTTATTGTAGTGGGAGCAGTATTGGCTACAGTTGAATTTGCAGAACTGTCACGAGCCTAACAACCTAATTGAAGAAGATTTCCTAGCATGGTCTCTGCCCAGAGGTGAATTATTTTGGAAAGTCTGAATAAAATCAGTTGACCATTTTTGCACAGGTAGGAGGGTAGAAAAGTAATACACACTTTTCCCATTATAAAATTATACTTGCAACTTTTATTAAAATAAAACAAAACACACATAAATCAACAGCCAAATTAGCTGTGGATTGAAATTTGGCATAAAAATATGTAGACCTTATTGAAAAGGGGTATCTTCACGTGTTCCGGAGGAAATTAATCATGGTTGTAGAAAAAAGTTGTAAGATACTATATTATTTTAGATATAATGCTCTAATATAATTAAAATAATGTAAAGAAATATAATATAATTAAATATCATAATACATAGTACAAGGGGACACTGCTAAAGTTGCATGTGCATCTTAATTTGGTGTTTACTGATATTTATTCATTCAACCTTAATGTTCTATTAACAGTTTATGGAATTATTTTAAAACAGCCATTTTAAGATGGCATGTTCTAATTTAATGCTTTCCTCCTAACTTAGTAGAGGTCAGATCTAACAGCATGGAACTATAGAAGGGAAATTTAAAAAATAATCACTAGAGGAATAAAGAAGTGACATTGCAGAAACTTGAGTACCAAACATTCTCTGAATGACAGTATGTATCTTTAAGGGGATCATAAAGTCAAAATTAGGGCTGTTGATTAATCACAGTTAACTCACGCGATTAACTCAAAAAAATTGTGCTTCATAAATATTTTAATCGCACTGTTAAACAATAGAATCCCAATTGAAATTTATTAAATATTTTGGATGTTTTTCCTACATTGTCAAATATATTGACTTCAATTACAACACAGAATACAAAGTGTACAGTGCTCACTTTATTTTTGATATTTTTATTACAAATATTTGCATTGTAAAAATGATTTTAAAAATAGTATTTTTCAGTTCACCTCATACAAGTACTGTAATGCAATCTCTTTATTGCGAAAGTGCAACTTACAAATGTAGATTTTGTTACATAACTGCACTCAAAAACAAAACTGTGTAAAACTTTAGAGCCTACAAATTCACTCAGTCCTACTTCTTGTTCAACCAACTGCTACGACAAACAAGTTTGTTTACATTTACGGGAGATAATGCTGCCTGCTTCTTATTTACAATGTCACCTGAAAGTGAGACCAGGCATTCGCATGGCACCAGGGCCGCCGAGAGCGGGTTCAGGCCCCAGTGAAAAAAAAATTTCGGGCCCCCCAGCAAGGGCGGACGGGCTAAACAGGGCCGACGAGAGGGGGGGGAAGTCGGGCCCCGGGACCCTTTCCAGACCGCCGGGCCCCGGTAAGGCGACGAGAGGGGGGGAAGCCGGGGAAACCAGGCCCCCTTCCGGACCGCTAGGCCCCGGTAATTTGTACTGGCTTCCCCCCCCATCTCGTCGGCCCTGCATGGCACTTTTGTAGCTGGCATTGCAAGGTATTTACATGCCAGATATGCTAAACATTCGTATGCCCCTTCATGCTTCGGCCACCATTCCAGAGGACATGCTTCCATGCTGATCAAGCTCATTAAAAAATAATGCATTAATTAAATGTGTGACTGAACTCCTTGGGGGAGAATTGTATGTCTCCTGTTCTGTTTTACCAGCATTCTGCCATATATTTCATGTTACAGCAGTCTCGGATGATGACCCAGCATGTGTTGTTCATTTTAAGAACACTTTCACTGAAGATTTGACAAAATGCAAAGAAGGTACCAATGTGAGATTTCTAAGGGTATGTCTACACTACGAAATTAGGTTGATTTTATAGAAGTCGATCTTTAGAAAGTGATTTTATACAGTCGATTGTCTATGTCCCCACTAAGTGCATTAAGTCGGCGGAGTGCATCCTCAATACCGTGGCTAGCATTGACTCACGGAGCGGTGCACTGTGGGTAGCTAGCCCACAGTTCCCACAGTCTCCGCTGCCCATTGGAATTCTGGGTTAAGCTCCCAAGACCTGATGGGGCAAAAAGATTGTCGTGGGTGGTTTTCGGTACATGTCGTCAGTCTCCCCTCCCTCCCACGCCTTTTTTCCTTGGTTACCCATGCAGATGCCATATCATGGCAAGCATGCAGCCCGCTCAGCTCACCGCTGCTGTTGTGAGCATTGTAAACACCTCACGCATTATACTGCAGTATGTGCAGAACCTGGCTAGGAGACGCTAGCACGAGGATGATTGTGAGGACATGGACACAGATGTTCCTGAAAGCACGGGATGTGGCAATTGGGACATCATGGTGGCAGTGGGGCAGGTTGATACAGTGGAACGCCGATTCTGGGCCCAGCAAACAAGCACAGACTGGTGGGTATTGGATGATTCCCAGTGGCTGCAAAACTTTCGCACACGTAAGGCCACTTTCCTGGAACTTTGAGAGTTGCTTTCGCCCGCCCTGAAGTGCAGGAATACCAAGATGAGAACTGCCCTGACAGTTGAGAAGCGAGTGGTGATAGCCCTGTGGAAGCTTGCAATGCCTGACTGCTACCTGTCAGTCGGGAATCAATTTGGAGTGGGCAAATCTACTGTGGGGGCTGCTGTGATCCAAGTAGCCAATGCAATCACTGACCTTCTGCTAGCAAAGGTAGTGACTCTGGGAAATGTGCAGCTCATAGTGGATGGCTTTGCTGCAATGGGATTCCCTAACTGTGGCGGGGCGAGAGACGGAACGCATATCCCTATCTTGGCACCGGACCACCTTGCCAACCAGTACATAAACCGCAAGGGATACTTCTCAATGGTGCTGCAAGCACTGGTAGATCACAAGAGACGTGACGCTCGCATCTTTAGGAATGCCGGGCTGTTCGAGCAGCTGCAAGAAGGGACTTACTTCCCAGACCAGAAAATTACTGTCGGGGATGTTGAAATGCCAATAGTTATCCTTGGGGACCCAGCCTACCCCTTGCTCCCATGGATCATGAAGCCGTACACAGGCAGCCTGGACAGTAGCAAGCAGCAGTTCAACTATAGGCTGAGTACTAGAGGGCTTATTCCTTCACCCACTCACTTCCCTGGTCCTTCTCGCATGAACAGAGAGCAACAATAGCCGAAGTCCAAAGGTGCAAACAATTTGATGTTTATTGAGGTGAACTTCCAGCAAGCATGATTCCAGTTTCCTTCCTCAGTGTCCCCCTTCCCAGCTCTGACACCACAGAGCCTTGCCCGTGTCCCTGTTCCCATTTCCCTCCCACTAGCAAAACATGAATTCCCCCACCCTGTTCCCATTCCCCTCCCCATTACTTCCTCGTTGACTGCAGACTATATAGTAAAACTTGAGTTCTGCTTAGCTACTCCTTAACCAATCATTTTACTGAAATTTAACTAACCAAGCCTAACATATTGTAACATGATTATTTAACCAATTATATCCCACCACCTTAACTGGTTTACACCCAACAAAATTAATTATACAGCAGACAGAAACAATCACAGAACCAGACAGAGATTATACAGACAAACAATAGGGAAGTAGAGACTACTGTGATAGAACAATACAGAAATGAGGATTTCACATCCCAGCTATTGATAAGTGAGTTCTTGCCAGACAGGATGCTATCAAACTAAATTTCCTTTTACATCTTCTAGGCTCTTCCCTTTATCTGGAGATGATAGATCGATCACCTTTCTAACAGCCCCAGATGGCCTTATTTTAATGTGACTAGTTTGGAATGTGAGGATGTGACCGTTCGCTTCCCAGCTTATGGCTGCCTCTGCTGCTTAGCCAAAGGCTTAGCCTAAGAACACGGCCTCAGACTGTCACAGTAAGAGAAGGCCCTTACACCGGCAGACAGTGATTTTGATTCTCTCTTTTTATGCCTCTATAACTAGCTAAGTGATAAGAATATACCTAAATTCTTAAAGTATAGGCCTTTGCAGACAAGCCTGAATATCTATATCCTAACACTGAGCAATTGCAGAATGGGCCTTTGGACGTTTAAAAACTCGCTGGTGCTATTTGCTGACTAGGTTAGACCTCAGCGCAACCAATATTCCCATTGTTATTGCTGCTTGCTGTGTGTTCCATAATATCTGTGAGAGTAAGGGGGAGACGTTTATGGCAGGGTAGGAGGTTGAGGCAAATTGCCTGGTGGCCAATTTTGAGCAGCCAGACACCAGGGCGATTAGAAGATCACAGCTAGGTGCGCTGTGCATCAGCTTTGAAAACCAGTTTCATGACTGGCCAGGCTATGGTGTGA